CCGGTATATACATATCTCGTATATCAGTTCGACCATTTTCATTCTGAAATTTTTGATGTAAACAACTAGTTCCCCATTCTGAAAACTATAATTGACAATAACGCATTGAAAACCGTAGGAGAAGCGGATTCATCTTTAACCCAATCATATAACAGTATCATCACATATAACAGTAGCCTACATCATAATTGGTAAAATATAATTATTTAATTTGCATTAAACTGAGAAATTAAAAAAATTTGGAAACTTACTTAAGAACAACAGAAAACCCACAATGATGCTTACCTTTCTAAAAAAAAAAGTACACGAAATAGGGGGTTTAAAGCAAATTACCACTCGTGATGAAAAGCGGATCCCTAGCGAGAATTAAATAGTTTAACACATTGTTTGTACCTAAACTTATCAACTTAGCCATGTTCCTACTGCCACTTTGAACAATTAAACTTAAAATCAACTCAACAATTACTGCGCTAGTGTACTATCTAGAATTGCAAATGATGAGCAATTACTGAAATTAAATTCGGTATTAAACGACCAAGACCTTACCTTAAAATAACTCTAATTCGTGAGTAGGTAAAACGATGCAGGTGACATAGCACAAAAAATCAAATGGCTGCTGTTTTGTTAATTACTACTTAGTAAGAACTATTAATGAATCTTAAACTGACTGTGAATATATACAAAACAGCACAATTATAAATGTTATTCAAGTAATATATTTCCCTTTTCGTAAGGTTACAAAGTTCTGCATGTTTACCTTGGAATTTTGTAGTACAATGTCATACGGAATTTCGCTATATACTTAGAGCCAGGCTGCAGTAAGGACTGGAAAATGCATATTTAAGGTTGCAGCACGGATGAATCGGCTCCACTGAAGAAAAACCACTCACTCACAGAATGTCAGCGTAAAATAGCTTAATGCTGCTGCTTTTTATAGGGGAGTGTAAAGACCTGGAGAGCCTTTATTTTTCTGGTAACGAGGCATTCTATCTTAATCCCTAAGGATTAAGACAGAATGCCTAGGGATAAATGCATCTGGATTTTAATTCTTAATCGAGGTTAGGAGTAAGTATCTATAGGCCACAGTATTTACTTACTATCACGTGGTCTGTGTGCTCTTATTTTATGAACGATGGCCCATTAGTTTAATCCGATAAGATACGATACGTCGGTTTGTTGGTAAAAATGTTCATCCTAATTGGGGCAATAGTAAAATGATTGTGAACATTATACCATAAACACTGTCTTCTCAATTGTACAGTATAGTCCTTTTTAGCGAGGTCGATTGCAAAAATATACACTTCAGAAAAGTTACATTATTACAACTCTTGATAGTTATGAGCAATTTTCGTAAATTCTTTAAAGGTTAAGTCGCAGTTATTTTCATCGTTTTTTTAGGTAAAAGAAGTTTTGCCAGCATTGATGATCGGACTGGTGTCGGATGCTTGTATTTTTTTATAGGATAGGGTGACAAACGAGCACACAGTCCATCTGATGGTAAGTGGTTGCTGTAGCACATAGACATCTACATCTATCCTTGATTACGAATCAAAATGCAGATGCTTTGTCACCCGTGAGGACTAAGATGGAATGCCTCGTTTCCAGTAATAAGGTCGTTTTCTTCCGCCGTGATCGCCGACAGTAACGGTTTCGTTCACTCCTAGTTTTTTTAAATAAAATAAATGTGTCTAGTGTTTAAACTTACTTAAAATTAATATCAATAGATGCAGTGTTTCATTGGTGTTCGAGTGGTTAAATCATTCAGTGTTTTCATGTTAAATTGTGATAGAAATACTCCAAAAACTGTGAGAAGCACCGTAGTCATTTTTAAAAGTTGCAGTCAGTTGTTTATTTTGCAATGGGTATGCAATAAATTATAAGTCACATTATTCAACGAACATTTATCTCCGTAAAGTGAATCGCTTATTCAGAGTATATCAGCGAGCAATTGGCGCTGTGGCTTACGCACTAACGCAATAAGAAAATAAGTATAAGAGGCGTTAGATCGAATTCCAACAGCTGAGATCTTTTTTTAACTTTATTTACAAAAATTTCTTAGTTTGAGATTAATAAAACAATTAATATGAATTGCTCTGCCTGCAACAAGAAGCTACTTCGCATTGACCGCTGCCTACATACGAGCGGGCTACATACGAGACGATATCGGTGGCGATCTAGGGTGGAAATAAATCGGGGCTTTTATCGAGGCAGACCCTACACACGGGCCTGCCTAGCAGTACGTGTTTGGACTTGAAGCGGAACGCATATGCGGTAGAGTTCTTCAAAATGCCTCCGATTCTCTTAAAACACGAACGGGTTAATACGGGAAAATAGAAAAAGAGGAGTTGCTGGGCGAAAAAATGGCTCCAAAAGAGACAAAAATTAAGCTTCATAAACGTATTAAATGGTCTGTAATCCAAAGACATGATTAATTTTCTCCGGGTGGATGAAGACAGTTTTTACAACCTTCTAGAATTTTTCTATATTTATGATTTCGCAACTTATATAAAAACTTCAATTTCTGCTACCTATGCTATTTAGTTATTTCTTCTCTTTGTTCATTTCTGCTTTGGTCAAAATTGGGTTATGTACTACACACAACGAACAAAGAAATAAAAGATTTTTGTATAATAATATGCATACTTTTCTTTAATGTAATCTTTATTTACGTACCTTCATCCTCTCATCAACAACTAACTCCTACTCCTTCACCATCTCCATATCAACAAACAAGCTATATGGAAGGTAGTATGTCCGAAATTAAAGGTTTCTTTATTTAAAAAAAAGATATAAGGTAATTTATTTTTTGATAGTTTTAATCCATAAATAAAGATTACATTAAAGAAAAGTGTACATATTATTATACAAAAGTCTTTTATTTCTTTGTTTGTTGTGTGTAGTACATAACCCAATTTTGACCAAAGCAGAAATTAACAAAGAGAAGAAATACCTAAATAGCATTGGTAGGAGAACTTGATGTTTTTATATAAGTTGCGAAATAATAAATATAGAAAAAATCTAGAAGGATGTAAAAACTGTCTTCATCCATCAGGAGAAAATTAATCATGTCTTTGGATTACAGACCATTTAATACGTTTATGTAGCTTAATTTTTGTCTCTTTTGGAGCCATTTTTTCACCCAGCAACTCCTCTTTTTCTATTTTCGAATATATTAACCGAGATGGCTAATTCCAAACCAACACGTTGGTGTTTTAAGAGAGTCAGAGGCATTTTGAAGAACTCTACCGCATATGCGTTCCGCTCCTAGTCCAAACGCGTACTGCTAGGCAGATAGCGTTGGATATTGGAGTTAGTTGTTGAGGAGAGGCTTTATCCTCTCCTTACTTACTTCATACACCCTACTTTATGAACGGCAATAAAACAATTAGTTTAGTAGGCATTCTTGACTTCGCAAGGTCACAGGCTAGGGTGGATATGATTTGAATTTCGACAGATTTTAATTAATTTATTTATTCAATTTTTTTTGTTTTTTTGTTTTTTGTAAAATATCATAGGCTTCTACTCCGTTCAGATGTTTAAAATGTAAAAAAATTTTGTTATGTAAAAAAGGTCATTCAGTATCACTGTTTCGTTAACGTCCTTCCGCGAGGGCTGCCGGCAGCGACTGCCAAAAGAAATCGGGCCGATGCGCCCTACACACTAATGGTGGTTAATATAGCGCATAGCGCCATATTATAGCGCGCTATCTCTTCATAACACATAGCGCGTGTTATGTAAGTAGTCTCCAAGGCGCTATTGCGCTATGGCGCTTTGGCGCTATCAAGTATTAATATCTAGCGGCAATTAGTTCTAGCAGCAGCGCTGTTGGGAGAGGACGTGTGACACAAATTTGATCTCCTAGCGCGCTATTCATCGCGCGCGACCTAATTTAATGTTAGACGTTGTTTAGTTAGTGTATACTGTATATTTATAAGTGATCAAAGGACACAGTTGTGATAAAAGAAGCCTAACTAATGTTTTAAATATAAATAAAATATAGATACAAAAGTGTAAATAAAATAGTGTATGTAACTAATTGATTTTTATAAATACAATAAATAACCTTTTAAATACACTTTTATTTAATTTATAATTTATATTAAGGTTAAAATAATGTTTACATCAATTATAATAAAAAATAATTAATATTATTTCGATTCTAAAAATAAAATTAATTCCATTTTAAAAAGTACATGACTTAAAAATATTTTTAGGATTATAGAAAGTAGTAAGCCTGTAAAGTATGAAAAAGAGCGTATTGGTTTTTCTTTACCGCTTTATTTCATTTTAGTCTAAAATGCGACTTATTACGAAATAATGTTCTTATATAGCACGCGATCTATCCAATGAACATGTAATGTAACGTGCTGAGAGATATAACGTGCTGCAAAACTTAACGCGCTTACCGGCCTCCTACACGCTTTCTTATAAATAGCGCGCTATAACATAGCGTATTTAATAGCGCGCTAGAAATTTATAGTTTATAGTCTGTAGCGTGCTATTGATTTATAGTCGTTTTGAACAACTTTACTACACACACGCAGTACGGAGTGGGCGGGGCCCCAATCTAGGAAGCATCGGCTACATTTTTGCTCCTGCCAGCCGATTAAGGAGGCGATATCGGCCACGACTTAGGATGGTCCTACATACGACACGATTTAGAGGCAATCTAGGAGGTATCCCCACTACTCCACCCTAGATCGCCACCGATATCATGTCGTATGTAGCCCGCTTTGTAATCGCTATCATTCAAAATATCATATTGAGTGCCTAAATTTAAAAAAAGAACAATTTACGGCTTTAACTACTGAATATAAATCAAAGTGGATGTGTCCATCGTGTAGTAGTATAACTAAACGTAAGCGATAGAATGTCAATACGCCTGTCCAACAAACGCTTGTACCACTCGTAGAGAAAACATTGAATTCGCCCTTGAAAATTCAAGCTGGTCATCAACCGATTCCCAATTATTTTCCTCAAACGACGACAATCTCGTCACCATGGGTAAAATTAGTACCTTATTGGCTAAAAAACTTAATAATTATCTATCAGATTTCATGAAAAGTTTTAAAAAAGCATTGAAGGATGACATCAAAAACCTAGTTCAAGCTAAGATGGACTCAGTCGTGCAGCAGCTAAAAGACGGCTTTATTGTAACCACTAACTTTATATGTGATGAACAGTCTTCCCTAAAGCAAGAAATTGAAAATAATAGTCACATAATAAAACACCTAGAATCTGAAACTCTTCGATTTCAAAAGGAGATTAATGTTCTGACCAATCGTTTAACATCAATCGAAAAAGTTTCCCGTAGCAAACATTTTGAAATTCAGTTAGTACCAGAAAGTCGAACTGAAAATCCAATGCTGTTATTCCGCAACCTGTGTAAAACAGTAAATATTCAAATAGACGATGAGAACATTCATTCTTGCCGTAGAGTTGCCAAATACGACATCTCCTCCGAACGCCCTAGAAATATTCTTGTAACACTCATTAACCCACGCTTAAGGGACCAAGTTTTATAACAAAGCCAATAAAGACAATCCCTTGAATACCAACAACATCGGATTAAATTGCGAAAAGCGAAAAATTTATGTGACTGAACATCTTTCTCCGGAATTAAGGCTCTTCATGCTGCTGCTAGAAAATTTGCAAAGGAGAAGAAATATAGGTATGGGGTGAAGACACTGCGGCCTGCATGCACATTAGAAATATGGAATGCTTAAAGAAGCTGTCATAATATCAAAAAAAATTTTTGTTGATATATTTGGTTTATGTATTTGGGAATTTTACTATTGTATAATGTTAATTTATTCTCAAAATGTTAATCGCTAAGATCAAAAACAAAAGAGTTCTATCTTAATGTACTTAATAATGATTACGACATTATCTGTATAACTAAAACAAACTTAAATAGCACTATTTTTGACGGTGAATTCATTGGCACTCGTTATAATGTTGTAAAGCGCGACAGATATCAATCAAATACACGTAAATCTGCGGACGGGGGAATTCTAATTGCCGTTAAAAAGAAATAAATTTTATCTATCAAGCTTCTGGAATAGTGAACTAGAAGACTTGTGGATCAGCATATTGCCAAAAGCCACTAATGTTAAAATTATTAATATTTGTCTATGTTATATTCCACCAGATCTGCCTTTAGACTGCATCGATATTTTTTATACAAACTGTCAAAACGTAATTATGCGACATCGCAACACGGAAGAATTTCTTTGTTTAGGAGATTTTAATATACCCGACGTTCACTGGTCTAAATCATCACAGTATAATTATATGATTCCTCTTCATCCGCGAGGTCAAAAAGCTAATCTGCTTTGTGATACCCTTAGAATATGTAACCTTGATAATTATAACAGTATATCAAATAACAACGGACGATTTTTAGACCTAATTCTTTTCAGTTCGACAGCATTTAGATTTATGAAGTGGAGCCATTAAGCCGCTTAGATAGCCACCACCCCTCATTAGTTGCAGATATTAATCTTGTTCAAATAAACTCAAATAATTTTAAAAACAAAAAACAAAAACGACGAATTGAAAAAATTAGTCAAAAGCAATTATTCAAAAATAAATCTTGAATTATAATCAGTTAAATGGCATAATATCTTGTCAATTCATAAAGATATTGATAGCATGACTGACACATTTTATGCAGAGCTTAGGAATATTATTGCGAAACATACACCTATTACCAAAATTGACACAAACAACTATCAAGTATGGTTCACACCTGATTTAAGGCAAAGCTTAGAAGAAAAACTAAAGTATCATCGACGTTTCAAAAAGTATAAGAACCCTCGGGATTATGATACATTTTCCATGTTACGCAACAGATGTAAAAAACTTATTAGTAATGACTATAAAAATTTTGTTTCGTCCGTCGAATCTTCTTTAGATGACGACATACAATTCTTATGGCGTTTTGTCAATGACAAGAAAAATAATGCTAATAGTATTCCCAAATCGATGAAATATGGTAATCACATCTCTTCCGATGAAAAAGAAATATATGTGCTTCTCTCTAATTATTTCAGTTCTGTCTTTGTAAACCCAGAGGAGACTATCTTATCTTCTCACAGTGAATTATCCAATCGTAGCAATTGTACCCTGAGTGATATCGCAATCACACAAGAAGACATACAGCAAAAGATTGCGAAATTAGACCAAAGAAAAGGCCTCCGGACCAGATGGTATTCCTCCTTTATTCATTAAGAAATGCGGCAAGGAATTAAGTAATCCCTTGTGTATTATATTTAATGCATCCATTAAGGCAGGTATTTTTCCATCAGTATGGAAAATAGCTCATATCGTTCCGATTTATAAATCCGGCGACAGATCAAGTGAGCATCTTGTCTTGCCTTGGTAAATTGTTTGAATCATTGGTGTATGATTCTCTTTATCACAATATTCAACCTTTCCTATCGCTTCGACAACATGGCCTTATTAAGAACAGATCGACGACTTCTACTTTACTTGAATACAAATACTATCTTTGCAGTGCTTTCCCCAAGAGAAAACAGCTTGAAAGCATATATACCGATTTCTCAAAAGCATTCGATAGAGTAAATCATAATATTTTATGTATCAAATTAGCATGTTACGGAATACATGGGAGTCTGTTGAGATGGACTGAATTTCTCAAAAGCATTCGATAGAGTAAATCATAATATTTTATGTATAAATTAGCATGTTACGGTACATGGGAGTTGTTGAGATGGACTGAATCATACCTCAACAGGAGAAATCAGTTAGTTACTACAAAAGGTTTCAAATCCTCACCCGCTTCTGTGACATCAGGTGTGCCACAAGGGTCCCACTTAAGTCCTTTATTTTTTAACGATCTCATTGATAAATTAACATGTCCATGCCTGTTGTATGCATGTAATTTGAAGCTATTTTCCGTTATCGATACACTCAGCGATTCGTTCAATCTTCAGTCGAATTTAGACTCCATTCATAATTGGTGTAAAGAAAACCTAATGCATCTGAATACGAGAAAATGTTTTGTCTTATCATTTAGTAACAAGAAGCACAGACTTAAATTTGAGTATAAAATAAATGGACGGGTACTTGACAGAAAATCCGTAGTTAAGGATCTTGGAATACTGTTTGATGAAAAGCTTACGTTCCGCGATCATTACGATCATGTGATATCTAAAAGTACAAAACTTCTTGGCTTTATATTTAGAACTACAAAGACTTTTAAAAATCCACGAAGCTTTCTTATTTCGTACTGTTCCCTAGTACGCAGTATTTTAGAGTACAACTTAATTATTTGGTTTCCATACTACGCTGTCCACGTAGATCGTATTTAACGTGTTCAAAAGAAATTTCTATCAATCCTCTGCTATAGGTACGGTTTAAATAGAAGTCTGCCCTCCTATGTAGAGAAACTGAAAAAGTTTAACATTATATCACTACAAACTCGGTGTAAATATCAGGATATGACTTGCCTTTTCAAAATATTCATTCCTTTATAGATTCCCCCACCCTCCTTTCAATTGTCAAGATTAATACTAAGCCCCATCGTCGGTATACTTTCCTAAATACTTTCGCTTTGCAAGTTTATAAAAATAATACATCCTATTACAATCCTCTTGTAAGAATGTGTCGCCTATATAATGACTTATTGATTAATAATCGTAAAAATATAGACATTTTTAATAACAAATTAAACAATTTCAAATATCCGTATTAGATATATTTTGTAAATAAGGCATTCAAGGCTTAAAATTTAAATTTAAATGTATAGGTAAATGAACATACTTTTAAAAAGATTTAATTTTCACAACATAAGTTCATAAGTATAGTATGTTTATAAGTACGGTTATAATTATTTATGCTGTAAAATCGTTACTGTTACAGGGGATATAGTAAGTCAGCTCAAATTCTAATTTCGTCCCCACTTGCCCGCGCGTCGTATGCTATGTACCGACATGTTTGTAATCACTAATACTGTAAGTAGAAAGGTCGTTAGACAATTATTTCATTAGGTTTATCATATTTATGCCTGTTTCTTAACGCCAAGCCAGTGGCTTCTTATTTTTATTACGGTTATTTCACATTATTTAATTTTACGTCGTCCTGTTGCGTAATGTATATTCTGATCGTAAGCGACACAACCTCCCCCTTCAAAGGCCGAAGCGAAGTGACCGGGCGTAAGGAATCACGCTTCAAGAGGCCGATAGTTTAGGTAATTTCTTTTTACAGTGATAATAATGGTATTTTAAAAAAAGTAAATTACATAAGCACTGCTTTATAGTTAGTTCAGTAAGTATACAAAGTTTCATGATCTTATTTAAAGTATTTTATGAATAACAGCGGTTTATTGTTTATTTTGGAGGTAACTTTGGATTTTTTTTCTATCGAGAAAATTTTACGAAATCGTGTTTTCGTCTAACATAATCCTTAACATTGATCCTCAACTTTACCATATATTTATTTCAAAATTAATACTGCAATATTTTCGGCATAACGAAGGATCTTGCTAAGCCATTTGAGATTATATTTCCCCTTAATATCATGTTGTGTGCACATGTTTTGGAATACCATCCAGATAGTAACTTTGTATTTATTATTTTCAATTGTTCATGTTTTGGTGTTATTCTGTTTTGTGAACCTAAATAAATAAATAAATAAAAAAGGGTCTCCGGTTCTCTACACTCACCATACGTTACACATCAGCATTAAGCTGCTATTTTATGCTGGTTTTCAATGAGAACGTGGTTCATGCTAACAAGCACAATAGCTGCAGCGTGGCTCTACCACGTATAAAATAATATATAATAATATATTCAATTTATTTATTATATAATAATAAATAAATATATATATTCAATTTATTAAAGATGTCAAAAATCAAGTTGCTAAGTTCCGCGTAATAAAATAAAATAATGTTTCTTACCTTCCTAGTTTGAAGAACACCTATCGTCCTCCCTCAATTGCGTGCACTATCTCCGTCATCACTAGTCTCAGGACCACTACTTCCAATCCAATCTATATCTATGCTCGATTAAGAATCAAACTTCCACTACGTTGTCACTCCTTACGACTAAGATAGAAAGCCTCTTTAGTAGTAAAAAGTGTTTTTTTTCCTTACGCTCACCATACGAAATTCAGCAGCATTATACTGCTGTTTCACGCAGGTATTCTGTGAAAGTGGTCTTACCCTGGTCAAGCCGATCAAAAATAAGAGTTTCTTTTCCACTAGTCTTTAGAATTCACTGCAGGAAATTAACCTTTTCAAGGATACGCCAAATTTATTGATCACACATTGAGCGCATTTATTGATCACCAGTTTTTGGCATTAGGATTCAGCATTTTTGAAATATTTTCATTAGTCTGTCACCAGAGTCTCGTTCTTTAGTTGGCAGGATGCACAGCATACATGTATGGTTGGCATTTGGATCAAATTATCACCACTGAACCATGGTAACTCAGGAGATAAGCGTTTGCCTCAAATTCCATAGTGTACGTATAAACCGTGTTCCATACTAACGCGGCG